CGAAACCTGTCCTGTGTCATTTCAGCCATATGGTATAGCATAAATACAGTGTGGTGAACGATGTACTCCGATATATAAAAAAAATAGTCAAACGGTACCAGATAAATACATAACATAAATAAAGATACTTAAAGTTTCTGAACAACGCACGTTACATTTTGACCAATCGCGGCCATCGCATACGGATAGAATGTAACGAAATGTGTTATATGTCAAAGGGGGTAAATTTGCATTTATTAGATATGTAATATTGATTATTGTCGATGCCTATGTGATGGCCGTGATTGGTCACAGATTAGAAAGGCTCCGTATTTTCACAATTGTTACCCACCAACCCGAATGTAAATTAATAGAGAACTGTACCACTACAGAGAAAAAAAACTCCAAAACCCATTTTTTCTTTATCCTTTATTATTGAACGGAAACGATTGAAGTTGCTTCTGAATATTTAAATAATGCTCCTTCAAGGGTTTATTACTGCAATGCGTTGTATAGACCTAAAACGTTCAAAATTTTTAACATTTGTAATACATCGTTATTGAAAGATATTTCTATGCTAAACTTTCACCTTTTTCAACACGAGGAAGCTGTGAAAATAACACAGCGTCTCCAGTGGATTATTATGAGTAATGCCATTCGATAAACAGTAGTTTAGATTATTGACTCTTTGGCAATTGATTAAATTGGATAATTGGCTGTTTGGACAAATAATGACGAAGCTTCAAACTTGTTTATGTTCTTTCTTATGAAAGTCTAATATATTTACCATCAAATAAATCTACATCGAATAATATAAAAACTTGTGTTTATTACTTAAATGCTGGATTGTCAATGCAAATGGATTCAATAATTTAACGCCAACGACCGCTATAACGAGAGTTTGCGATAAAAGTTTATAAACCCTTTTTTATTCGACACAAATATTCGTTCCTACTGCCTCAAAATTATCTCAAGAACATACTATTTTGAGTATTTTTGCACCTTCTGAGGATGAAATGGATTATTCGTGGACAAAATGAATCTATGCTGCTTGAAATCACTGTTACTAACAGGCCCGTAGTTTTTGGGGGGGTTCGGGGGGTTCG